AACATATAGATTAACAGAAATGGGATGAGTTTAAATGTAAGAGCTAGTCAGCAGTAAGTCTGAGCTAATGGCTGAGCAGTTTTAATTAACATAAGCCTCTGTGTGTTTGTTTACTTGGGGGACGTGAGTAGGAGAGATGGAGAGATTTGTCCCACAGGAAATCTTCCAGCTACAGGGATTGAACCCAGGGCCTAGCATGTGTTAGGTGGGTTATAATTTCTTTATAGCTGAAGCTATTTTATTGTACGGATAGTCCATGTTTTCTTTATCCAGCCATCAGTTGATGGACACATAGGCTGTTTCCGTTGTGTAGCTGTGGTTGATAGTTTCTCATTCCTCTTTCATTCACTGAATTTCAGCTCCCAGCCTTTCTTCCTGTCGCTTAACCTTGTCAGGCTGGTTTCGGCCTCAGGATCATTCTTGCATTTCTGTTGCTTGGACTGCCCTTCTCCTGGCTCTTACCATGGCTTGCTGGTAATACTCGTCCTTTCAGCTCAGATACTGCTGAAATGGAGACGTCGGAGAAGTTGTCCTTGGTCCTGGTGTCAAAAGTAGCTGAACTTTGCGTACTTTCCATTCAGTAGTCTAGTGCAGAGTCTCCACAGTACATCTCACCACCAGAAATGAAGAGGCATTTGGACAATTGGCACCTTTAGCACTGTGCTGTGGCCTCTGGGCTCATTCTCAACTAACTTTCGAATGCCTAAAATGTACCAATTGTATTAAAAATACAGTTACCAAAATATTTTAAAATTATGATTTAGTAACCCATATGCTTCTCTGTTAAGTCCTGAAATAACAGTATCTATTTGCAGGCTTCATAATTACCAGAACATAAAAGCTGTGATGGATGTAGATGATATTTTGACAGATGTGTAACCACTGGACTAGGAAAGGAAAATATGAAAGATTTCTACTGGACTACAGATTATTGCCTTGGTTTATAATGGGAGAAAGTGCCAAACTTCAGTTAGAGATGTGTTTTGTTCCTGTCCAAGTTTGGGGATCCTCTAAATTCTATTCATAGGCTTCTTGGAGATCTGTGGACTCCATGTTTAGAATTGTGTGGAAAGGGCTGGAGAGATGGTTCAGCAGTTAAGACCATTGGTTGTTCTTGCAGAGGACCCAGGTTCAATTCCCAGCATCTGCATGGAGCCTTATAACTGTCTGTAACTTCAGTCCCAGGGGATCCATCACCCTCTCTGGCCTCCATGGACTCAAGACATGCATGCGATGCATACACATACATGCAGGCAAAACACCTATATACATTAGAAAAGAATTACGTGGATGGTCCATAAAAGTCTTGAACTTGCTGCCTTAAAAGGGAAAAGATTAATTGTAGTGATGAGGAAGGATAGAGTCTGCCACGGAAGAAAGTGCTAGAAGAAAGCTGTCTTCTACAGCCCTCCATGGAACTAGGGTGTGGGTCATATAGAAATGTCCTCTTGGGAGGGGTATGAGAAAAGTAGCACCTTGAAGGAAAAAAGACACAGTTGGTAATGCAGCTACATACAGAAGTAAGGATTTCCTTTGCCCCAGAGTGGAGTTCAGTAAGGATAGCAACAGATGGAGAAGAGATGGCCACTGTGGGAAGATCAGCCATGGGGGCAGGGGTAGGTGGAATCCTCACTGGATGCCAGACAGCAGGCCAGACACTGACGGTACAAAGATGAGTCACCATCTTTCAGATCCCTTGAAACCAAATCCTGGTGGCTGATTGGTGGGTTTGCCTGGTCTGATCTGTGCGCCTCTTCAGAGGCTCTGAGAGCCAGGGGGCAGTGGGAATCAGATGAACAGAGGGTTCCAGAGATCCAAGAGGAAGGAAGCTGAGAAAATCTGCTCCCCTGTCTCCTCCACCCCATTGTGTGAAGCAAAAACTGAAATAAAAAAGAAGTTATGTAATAGAGGAAAGCAAAGCCATGCATGCCCTGATCATATAATTCAAAGCAGCTACCCATCTAAAAATTAGCTACGTCTGAGGGATGTGCCCTCTGTTCTCACTATGATTTCTTCAGGAACCTTCTATGACTCTTTGCTGCCAAACGATCATTTGTGCTTCAAAACAGTCTTGGCTGGGGCGGGGGTGAAGCAAAGGAAGAAAGAGAAAGAACAGTATTTTTAGGTTTTTTTTTCCTTTGGGGTGCCAGAGATACCCTGCACCTGGGTCTCTTCCTGAATGCAGCTCTCGGGATGTAGAATTCTGTGATTCTTTTTTTAAAGGCTGCTTTCCTCCCCTTGCCTAAGGGGGCTCTTTCACAAAGGCTCAGGTTGGGAGCTGCTGCAGGTGGGAGGTGTTGGTTGGGCTCAGACGTCTCTTTGATCATGTTCTCTTCTGGCAGTGGGATCTGAAAGCTCCCTGCCCTGGGCTGAGGTAATGAACCTCTTCTTCCCTGAAGGGAGACAGCATCTCCAGTGGAGAGGCAGCAAGCTGAGGAGAGGCAGAGGGAGGAGGGAGGGCTGAAAACTGAGATGACCTAGTTAGGGTAGAAGGAGGATGATATGGTCAAGGGTGAGGCAGCGGCAGGTGAGATGGCCCAGTGGGTAGAGCTGCTTTTCACCAAGCTGATGGCCTGAGTTCCTCCATCCCTGGATCTCTGGGGGGGGGGGGTTGGGGAGGGAGGAGAGAACTGACTCCCACAAGCTGTCCTCCGATTTCCACAGTTAGGCCACACACCTACACAATAAATAAGTGTATTTAAGAAAAAGAAAGAAAGAATGTCACAGGGAGGAGGGGTGGGCTGACTCGTCTGTTTTGAAGTTTTAAAAATTAGCGCCGGGCAGTGGTGGCGCACGCCTTTAATCCCAGCACTCGGGAGGCAGAGCCAGGTGAATCTCTGTGAGTTCGAGGCCAGCCTGGGCTACCAAGTGAGCTCCAGGAAAGGCGCAAAGCTACACAGAGAAACCCTGTCTCGGAAAACCAAAAAAAAAAAAATAGCATATATTAATTATACGTGATAATGGGTTTCATTATGAGACTTTCGTGCGTGTACATAGTGTGTTTTTTAATTATATTCACTCCCCATTACCCTCTCTTGTCTCCCTCCCACTGATCTTCTTCCTCTTCCCAAGTAACCCTTCCTTTACTTTTATTTTTGTAAATAGAAGTGTTTTAGTAATTACACTTTCATTCATTTGTGTGTGTGTGTGTGTGTGCATGCATGCACAAGCATGTGTGTGTGTGTGTGCATACCACAGTCATGTATAAAGGTCAGAGGGCAACTGCAAGAGCTAGTTTTCTCCTATCATGTGGGCTCTGGGAATCAAACTCAGATCCTCAGGCTTAATGACAGGTGCCCTTAACCACTGAGCCATCTCACCAGTTCCCTTTTCTAGTTTTATGCCTGTGTATGTGCAAACCAATAAGTTTAATTAGGGTTATTTATAGGAACATGGATAAGGGATTAGTTACCGAAGCATGGGCAATTCATCAGTGGCTATACTAATGAAGAAAGTCTCTCTCCTTCCCTTAACAAGTACTAACTGCCTCTGGACCTTCCACTCACTATTGTTTAGGAGGGCTTGCTGAGTCAGGTGTGGTGGTACACGTATGTAATTCTAGTACTCAGGAAGCTGAGGTAGAAGGTTCATGAGTTTGAGGCCAGTCTGAGTACATGAATTCCACCGGCTTAGGCTATTGTCTTAGTTAGGGGTTCTATGTGGAGACACCACGGCCACGGCAACTCTTACAAGGGAAAACATTCCATTGTGGTGGCAGCTTACATTTCAGAGGTTTAGTCCATTATTGTCATGGCAGGAAGCAAGGCAGCACACAGGCAGGCATGGTGCTGGAGAGGGAGCTGAGTTCTTACGTCTTGACTCATAGGCAACAGGAAGTACTCTGTCTCACTGGGCATGGCTTGAGCATATATGAGACCTCAAAGCCCGCCTCCACAGTGACACACTTCTTCCCCAGGACCACATCTACTCCAACAAAGGCACACCTCCTAATAGTGCCTTTCCCTTTGGGGACCATTTTCTTTCAAACCACCACAGCTATGTAGCAAGACATTGTCTCAAAAATAAACAAATAGAGTTATGTATGGTGGTGCATGCCTTTAATCCTGGCACTGGGGAGGCAAAGAGAGGCAGGTCTCTGTGAGTTTGAGGTCAGCTTGGTCTACATAGCAAGTTCCAGACCAGCCAAGGTTATAATGAGGCCCTGTTTCAAAAACAAACAAACAAATAAATGTGTTGTTGAGTCAAGAAGACTGCCTAGGAGAGCGCTTTCCATGGATTCTCAGTGAGCTGGGGTTCCTGTGTAGATGATGGGGGAAGTATCTTGATCAACATTTGTCTAGATGCTTAGATGAGAAGTGAAAAAAAATGGGAGTGTCAAGGTTGTTAATTGGGATGCTTCACTCACTGCTGCAAGAATGAGCAAAGGTCCCCCAGCACTGTGACAAAATCCCCCAGGGTGGCCACAGAGACGTCTTGTGTCCACAGCTCCAGTGCAGGGTGTGGGGACATGCAGGAAACATCTCATGGGCTTCGACTGAGGGCCCAACTACAGATCCCACCAGTGGGTTCCACATTGCCTCGGGGCCTGCTGGAAGAGAGAGAAGTTCCCTTCCCAGGCCCTGCCCTTCAGGAAGACACAGTGGGTCGAGGAGAGCACGGAGTCCCGTGAAGCAGCCGCAAACAATCCAATACCATGTATAATTGTTCACACTGCTGGGCCACAGAAGGAGTTCCGAGCATACGTAGAGAAGGCCATAGGGAGGAGATAGGCATTAAGCTGAGCCCTGAGGTATGCGGAGGCAGGATGGGGATGAGGAAAGATGGATGGGCATTCCACAGTGAAGAAATAAATAAAGTGGGTTCACATGTGGACCAAGAAGGCAGCCAAGCTGTCAGTATAAAGAGCCCACTGAGAAGTCATGGAGAAGCCCAACTAGATGTGGGAGGGCCGATTACAGAGGACACTTTGCATTTCTAACTGGGACTGACTACATCAAAAAACCAAGCACTTGATGTCATTTCTCTCCCTTCCTCTCTAGCTATAAGCCCATCGTGGAATTCATAGATGCTCAGTTTGAGGCCTACCTGCAGGAGGAGCTGAAGATCCGGAGAGTACTGCACACCTACCATGACTCCCGAATCCATGTCTGCTTGTACTTCATTGCCCCCACAGGACATTCGCTCAAGTCTCTGGACCTAGTAACCATGAAAAAGCTGGATAGTAAGGTATGAGGCAGGAGCTGGGGCTGAGCAGGCTGGACTCTTACTGATCTAATATGTAAGGGGTGCTGGAATCCAGCAGAGGTTTTGTGGCATCCTAATCCAATCCTTCCTTCCTGCCCTTCCTCCATAAGGATGATGTAACAGATCCTGCATTTGTATCGTATGCTTTGCCATCTGGATTCCTAGTATGAGGGATGGATTTGTCCTGGGTGTCTTGGAAATAAGAATGAATGCAAGCAAGATGGCTGTTCAAGTCTAAGGGTGCTGGTTTTGGCAATGGAAAGTGTTATTCTTTCCTTTAAATTTTCTTTAGATTTATTTTATTTTATGTTTTCGGGTATTTTACCTCCGTGTGTGTATCTGTGCACCACGTGCATGCCTGGTGCAGAAGAGGATGCCAGATTCCCTACAACTAGAGTTACGGATGATTGTGAGCCATCAAGTGGGCGCTGGAAAGCAAACCTAAGTCTTCTGCAAGAGCATCCAGTGCTCCAAACTGCTGAACTATCTCTCCAACCATGTGCAAGGCCCTAGATTCGATTCCCAGCACCCAAAAATAAGACAAAGCAAAGCAAAACAAACTGAACATTGGATTCTTTAAAAAACCTAATTACTACAGTTTTTCTTCCTTAGCATTCGGCATGTGCCAGGCACTATGTACTTACATATGTTATGTCATCCTTGTATCTGTTGGTCATGTGTGTGTATGCATGTTTGCATGTGTGTGTACACGTGTGTATATGCATGCACATATGGGTGCTATGTGGAGACCGAAGGTTGATGTCAGAATCCTCCTCCATCATCGGTCTTCTGTCTTATTTACTGAGGCAGAATCTCTTAGCCAAACCAGAATTCAAATATATGGCTAGTCATGCTGACTAGCTTGCTTGCTCTGGGAATCCCGTCTCTGCCTTCTGAGGCTGAATGTTTGTAGGTTCTGGGGATCCAAACTCTGCTCCTCCTACTTGTGCCATAAGAGGTTAGCCACTGGGCTCTGGGTTTTGTTTTGTTTTTTTTTTTTTTGTTTTGTTTTGTTTTGTTTTGTTTTTTAACAAAAGATGTTTTTATTGTATTTTGTTTTAATTTTTAAATTTTTAATCAAATTTTTTTCATACAATATATTGTGATCATGCTTTTCCCCTCCCCCAACTCCTCCTATATCCTCCCCACCTCTCCACCTCCCCAACTTCCTCTCTCTCTCTCTCTCTCTCTCTCTCTCTCTCTCTCTCTCTCTCGTTAAAAAATAAAAACAACAAAAGCCCCCCCAAACACATATAAAAAGAAACTTCATGAAAACAGAAACTAAATATATAAGTACAAGACCAATAAGACAAAAATAAATAAATAAATAAATAAATAAAGTCCAAACAAAGCAGTGTGAGACAGAAAGTCTACAAAAACACCATTGAGTTCACTGTGTGTTCACCATCTACTGCTGAGCATGGAGTGTATCCTGAAGTTAATATACTCACTGAGATTTCCTAATTTTTCCTTTGCAAGTAGCTATCAGTTGCAGGTAGCTTCCTGGTTAGAGAGGGAGCCTGTATTTACTTCCCCTCTCTCAGCAATGGGATCCTGTCTGGTTTGAACCAGTGTATGCTGCTACAGTCTCTGTGAGTTCATATGTGTATCAGTCCCATTGTCTGGAAGACACTACTTCCTTGGTGTCCTCCATCAGCTCCGGCTCTTACAATCTTTTTGTTTGTTTGTTTGTTTGTTTTTTGGGGCGGAGGGATTGATTTTTTTTTTTTTTTTTTTGAGACAGGGTTTCTCAGTGTAGTTTTGGATCCTGTCCTGGCTCTCACTCTGTAGACCAGGCTGGTCTCGAACTCCGCTTGGCTTTACCTCCTGAGTGCTGGGATTAAAGGCATGCGCCACCAGTCCTGGCTTCTTACAGTCTTTCTGCCGTCTCTTCCCCGAGGGGAGGAGTTTGATGAAGATATGCCATTTAAGACTGAGTGCTCCAAAATCTCTCATTCGACACACTGTCCAGTTGTGGGTCTCTGTTAGTTCCCATCTACTGCAGGAAGTTCCTCTGATGATGGCTACGCAAGGCACTGATCTATGGGTGTAACAGAATGTTGTCAGGAGCCATTGGATCGCAATGTCCTTTTAGCAGAACTGTAGTTTTTAGCTTTCCCCGCAGGCCCATGACCTATCCAGTTTCTCTCAGGTCTAGCAGTACCGGGCATGAGTTCCATCCTTAAATGCCATTAGATAGTGGTTGGTTGCCTTCACAACATTTGTGCCCCTGTTGCACCAGCATACCACATAGGCAGGTGACCATTATAGTTTGCAGGGCTTGTAGCTGGGTGGACTGCTAGCTGCCTTTCTCCTTCGGTGATGTGCAAAGCACATTCCAGTCCCACGAACACTAGTCAGTAGAGGTGAAGGCTCTAGTTAGGCACCAACCTAGTTAGGAGAAGCTCAACTTCTCCATGTTCAATGAGATATGTAAGTGTTGTCTTCAGCAATAGAGACTGGGGAGCTGGAGAGATGGCTCAGAGGTTAAGAGCACTGACTGTTCTTCCAGAGGTCCTGAGTTCAATTCCCAGCAACCACATGGTGGCTCACAACCATCTGTAATGAGATCTGGCGCCCTCTTCTGGCGTGCAGTTATACATGCTGTATACATAATAAATAAATCTTTAAAAAAAGAAAAAGCAATAGAGACTGGGCCCTATTTTGTCCTTATAATAATGATAACAACAACAGCAATAATAATAATCTAGTGTATTTAGGTACTGTTAGTTGCATTTTACATGTGAGATCACTGAGACACAGAGAGGCAAGTAGCTAGCTCGCTCAAGGTCAGACAACTTCTAACAGAGTTGAGATTTGCCTTTAGCTCTAACTGCAAGTTATTTTAGTATACAAAATTCTAATTTACATGTAGTCATTTGGTAGCATAGCCACTATAAAAACTGAATGTCAGCTATAATCAGAATAAGAGCAGTTTTTCCATTTTTGCAGCAATGATCTCACTGCTCATGAATAATAGGCTGCTCCTGAAATGTCTTCCTGCCCAGCATGGCCCTGTATAGGGTAGCAGTGAGCCATGTGGCAGGCAGTCTGCTGGGTGGGCTGCCTTAAGCAAGCAGTTTTTGGATTATGTTTATTGTGAACTAATGAGGACTTAGCCAAAAAAAAAAAATGACAAGGAGACATGGATTTGCCTGCTGTTCCATCTTGGCAAAGATTCTGCTCTCTTGACCCCAAAGACTTCAAGGGAGATAACTACAAGGTCTGATCTTTGACCAGCAACCCAGGCTATGTGGTATGACTCTTCAGGGGACGTCTTCAGTTCTAGAGCTCTCCTTTCAGAGTCCAGGGCCTGAGCACCACTCACGCTGCCCCAAAGGGTCTGCAGGCAGGATCAACTCCATTTTCTGCAGGAACCTGAGCTTTAGTGTGCTCTGTCTCCCAAGGCCTGGCACATGTCAGATTTCTTTACCTTGGGCAATAAAAGCTTTCCCTCTTTCTGGAGGGATTTCAAGGATCAGCATTCCGGTGAGTTGAACTTTTGGGGTGGCACTAGGCCTTTCTTTTGCTATCTGAAATTGGGTATTCACACCTACTTTCTTTACTCAGAAACAAATCCTTTGACTCAAGCATTGTAACTTGTAGGGGGTGGGGTGGGGTGGGGGTAAAACAGGTTCTGGTATAGCTTAAGCTACCCTCAAACCCACTGTGTAGCTGAAGATGACCTTGAGCTGATCCGCCCACCTCCGCCTCTCCAGGGCTGGGATTACAGGGCTGGGATTACAGGGGCAGCTGAAGCCGGGAATTGAGGCCTCTCCTCTGTTCATGCCCAGCTAGCATCCTACCAACTGAGCTGTGTCCCAGCCCCAGCCCCAGTCTGAAATTTCTGCATGTGTTTCACGTCAGATCTGTAATACTGGGTCTTCTGTGCCCAACTGGCTGCTGCAAGTGAGAGAGCCGCATGTTCTTCTTCATCAAGTTCTGTCCCCGCTTCCTTTTGCTGACCTCCCATGTGCATCCATGTTATATCTGGCTGGGGCCAGCCTAGGTTGCATGGGTTGGGACAACTTACTGTTAGCAATGGATGTCCACCTGCCCCCTTGTCAACCACAGATTCCCTGTCATCTTTCTTCTTTGATTCACTCCAGCAGTGACCTTGATTCCAAGATATCACACAGTTCATCAGCTTAGATCTGATCTGATAGATAGCTCATAGTTGCTCATAACTTTGGGAATAAGGCTGACTTTGATTTGAATTTCAGTTCTGATACTTACCTGTGGCCTTAGGGAAGTTATTTAACCGCTGAGTGGTTCAGTTTCACATTGGTAAAACACTAGCAACACCTTCTGGGAAAGTTAGTTAGGACTAACTTTGCTAAGCCACTCGTAGGGTGCTTAGTTCAGTGGCCAACACATAGTAAGTCCTTGTTATTGTTTATTATATTGTTGTGTGGCTAAAGGTGGGCAGTGCCAGACCTATTTGCTGAGTTATCCCCTCTGAGAGCTGATGGGAGCCCTAGGCTGTGCAGTTGTGAGTTGCTAGTTAACGACAGTTGATCCCACTTTGTTCCTCCTTTTCCTAGGTGAATATCATCCCCATCATTGCCAAATCAGATGCCATTTCTAAGAGTGAGCTGACCAAGTTCAAGATCAAAATCACCAGCGAACTTGTGAGCAATGGAGTCCAGATCTATCAGTTCCCCACGGATGATGAGTCAGTGGCCGAGATCAATGGAACCATGAATGTGAGTGGGGGCATGGGGTTCAACTGCCTAGACATGCGTTCTTATGATCAGTCTTGGGCAAATAGCAGTGAAGTACCTTCATCAACCATCTTAGTGTGGTAACTCTTGATTGCCCGAGTCTCAGGTATTGCTGACAGAGGATCCAGAACCTAATTAACTTCTGTTTCTAGTGATGGCTGCTGTGAAGTCTCAATGACACAGAGATTGGTAACCAGGGAAAGGCTGGCCCAAGGCTTAATGTGGATTGGGAATTCAGGCCTCTTCTTCTATTCTCTTCCTCCTCATTTTTGGTTCATGTATATGTTCATATGTGTGTACAGGTGTATGTTTGTGTGTGTAGAGACCAGAGGTTGATGTAGGGCGTCTCCCTCAATCACCCTCCACTGTACTTACTGTGGTAAGGTCTCTTGCTGAAGCCAGAGCTCACCAGTACCTCATAGTCTAGCTGGCCAGCTTGCCCTGGGGATCCCTGGGCACAGCAAAAGACTGAAACAATTGGTTGGCCTCAGAGGCACAAGGATGGGCTGTTGTCCAAGAATTAAGTCCTGTTGTCATGAACTGAACAATGAGAAATAGCCTCCAATATTCTGGCAACCACAGTGATTTTTTTTAAAAAACAATTATTTTTATTTTATGCATATGAGTGTTTTGCCTGCATGTATGTAAGTGTACCATGTGTGTACAGTCTCCACAGAAGCCAGAGAGGGCATGGGATCACCTGGGACTGGAATTAAAGGTGGTTGTGAGATGCCTTGTGGGTGTTCAGAGTCAAATCCAGATCCTCTGCAAGAGCAGCCAGTGCTCTTAACCACTGAGCCATCTCTCCAGCCCCAGTGATGTTATTTTTAAGCACCAGGGTTATGCTTTGCCTTATTAAGTGTGAATGAATTTACAAAAAGAGTCCTCTTTCCTCTCCTCCCCCACCTCCCCCTACTAGGGGAATGAGTAATAAAGACGGCTGAGGGCGCTTCTTTACAACGTGTTGCTGCTGTTGCTGTGAAAGCTTCAATGTTGTGATTTCTAGGAGACAGCTAAGAGCTTTCAGCAAGTCCCTGCTTCGGGAACAGATTTCTTTTGCTCTATTGAGAGGCATCAGTTTTTCCTGATGACATAATGTCAGGGGACAGCCAAACTCAGGAAAGCCTTGTCATAAAAAGCCATTCTTAGCCAACTTTTCCCGCTGCTGGTGCCCTCTAAGCCATCATTACAACATCAGCTGCCACCTCCTGTGAATTGGCCAACAAATTAGCATAGCTAGGCAGCGAGTCATTGTCCCGCCTGATGTCCTGCCCATCAGCACAGCCCACCCCAGACAGGTTTCGTAGTGGAAGCCTTTCATCAGCCTGGACAAGTCTGGCTCAAGTCTGTGTGTCATGTGGTAGGTAGAGTTGTGTTCTCTGTGACCTGCTGTGGGTATGGACAAAAAAATCAAAAAACAAAATGGTACTGTCCTATTCGGAAGTCAGGGCACTTTGATGGAAATGAACAGCAGAAAAGGTGCCCAGCATGTCGCAAACCAGGAAGTGTTTTCTGGGTGTCGCTTGCACTGATGCCTGGAAGCATCTAGTCACCCCAGGACTTCAGTCCCTGTAGATAGCTTCCAGACTCATTCTCTGAGTCATCAAGCAGTGTTCAGCCTCATAGTTTGCTTTGCTACAAACAAATAGGAATAAGGTTTTTGCAATACGAAGGTGTCCCACCAAACTATGTCACTACATTATGGGTTAGAAGTGTCAATCACCTCCTGCTCAGCCTAAGGCAGACTGAACCTCAGAGTTGGAAATTCGCCATTGTTGGGAAGCAGCAATTCTCACCCCCGCTGCCATGGCAGTGAAGAGATTGCCAGCCGTACGTGATGCACAACAGCCCGTGGTTTGCCCCTGCTTCACTTTGAACACCTAAATTAAAAACTAGTTGTGGTAGTGCACGGCTGTCATCTGAGCACTGAGGCAGGAGGATCACTTCTTTGATTCTGGCCTTGGCTGCATATCGCAATCCCCTGCCTCCAAAAGAAAAGTAAGCTCAATCCGGTGGGTTCGGGGTCAGCCCTCTAAGCAGCATTGCTCAGTATTTACTCCCTTGCACTCCATCGTGCTCTTCTGAATGGGAAGGGAAGAGAAGGGCTGCCTTAGAGCCGAGATGCCTGGACCTGGACCTGTCTGTGAGAGGGGCCTGTATGGGAAGCCTCTGTGCTCCAGATGCCGAGTTGGGAAACAGGAGGGAAGAGTCACGGCTATGATAAACACAGACGGGCTTTGTCCACCTGCCCCCACTACGACTGTGTCAAAGTCTCCAGAGAAACCACGGGATATGCACTGATATCAGCTGAGATGGGGAGGGGGTGCTTGGGGGCTATGAAGATTGGGGGCTGGCCCTCCAGTCCAGATGTGGTTCCAGATCCCTAGCCTCTGCCCACTGCACAGCCCCTTGTCATGGGAAATAGAAGAAGCCGAAGGTTTTTACCTAGTTAGAGAAGACGGTGCAGCTGCCCTGTTGTTCTCGAGTAAGAGATATTCATAAGTGAGCATGCCCGGCCTCACCTTTGGCTTTTGGGTGGCTCTGGAAAACCTTATTTCAGATTGTGGGGGCAGGAGATGGGGGAGTTGCGAGAGAGAGTTTGCTAAATGCTATTTTCAACCCATGCTAGGATTGCTCTCAAAGCTGTGTAGGCTTTAAATCTCAAAATTGTCACATTGTTTAAATTAATTCATTGTTTTGGGACAGGGTCTCACTAGGTAGTCCAGGCTGTCCTTAAACTTGTAGCCTTCTTGCCTCAGCTTCCTGATTGCCGGCATTATAGGAATGAGTCACCATGCCCAGCTTATTGTTTAGATGCAGTGTTGTTGGTCTGGCATGACGACATACCTATAATCTCAACATTTGGGAGGTAGAGGCAGGAGGATCAGAAGATTAAGGTCATCCTCAGCAACACAGAGAGCTAGAGGATAGCCTGACCTACATGAGACCCTGTCTAAAAAAAATACAACAAAAATTTAATGCTATTCTTAGAATAGCTCAAACTGGAGCTGGGGATTAAAGAATGGGCCTGGTTACATGACTAAGCTCAGTTATTTGGCTGTTTGTTAGGTCCTGGGTTTGATTCCCACAGAGACAGTGTATTAGTGCCCAGTAAGAGCACATGGTTGGCAAATTGGATCATAGGGAGGCCCATGTGTCCTTTCCCTCACCCCAGCAACAGTGTCTCCATTGTTCCCATGTACTTCTTTGACTAACGATACCTGAGTGAATTAGGTGACAGTCTTGTTTAGCCACTAGTGGGAGCCTGAAATGAGGGCAAGTAGAACCAGCCTCATGACTGGTAGGCACTGTCCACCCTGGGAAGAAACCGAAGCCACTTTGTATACTCCACTAGACAGGATCCTGATGGAATTTCACAACCTAAAAACAAAAACAAAAGCAAAAACCATTCTTCTGGTCTTCAAAGCCTGACACATGTGTCATGACTCTTGATCATCAAACAACTTTCCAGTGGACCAGGGGGAGTTGAAGGTAGTCATGAACCTGGAAAAGTAGTGCTATGATTTGAAAGTATTACCCATGTGATGGCATCTGGAGATGGAGACTCGTAAGGCCCAGTGAGGCAAACCTATAATCTCAGCCACCCTGAAGACTGTGGCAAGAGGACCACAAGTTCAAGATCTGCTTGGACTACAGAGTGAGTTCAGAACAAGCCTGGGCAACTTGGTGAGACCCTGTTTCAAAATAAAAACTAAAAAAGAAGGCTGGGGATATATATATATATATATATATATATATATATATATATATATATATATATATAATCAGTGGTAGGACATGTGCCTGACATGTGCAAAGCCCTGAGTTCAATTCCTAGGTCTGATTTTTAAAAAAGAAGAGAGGGGCTGAAGAGATGGCTCAGAGGTTAAGAGCACATACCAGAGAACCATAGGACCCATGTATTGTGACTCACAACTCCTGTAACTCCAGCTCCAGGAGATCCAATCCTTTCTTCTGGCCTCTGTAGGCACCTGCACTCACATGCACATCCCCACATACAGACATACATGTACACAATGAAAAATAAACGTCTTAAAAAAGAGAGAAAAATAAACCTCTTTTCAAAAGAAGAGAGATTGGGTCTTTAGTGGTTAGTTAGGCCATAACGACTGCTCCCTCACTAATGAGATTAAGGGCCTTTATAAGAGAGACTTTATGTAGAATTTAGCTAGCTTGATTATCTACCTTCTGCAATAGTCTGCTCGTCATGTGTCAGCAGGGACCTTGTCTTGCAACTATCAAGAGTCTCCTCCCTGGGGCCACATATATGAAACATCACCTGTCAGCCTCCTGCAGGGACCCCAAAAAAAATGGAAGAAAGTCTGGCCTCCATTTGGGGGGGGGATATCATGAGTAGGACCTGGTAGTATGATTGAAAGTTAAAAGTCCTCACTATCTTGCTTGATTCCATTCTGGTTGTCATAGCCATGTACCTTTCAAGAACAGCATGGTCAGAGCTTGTTTCCAGTGACTCTTGGTCTGTCGTGTTTAGTTGACTTTTAGCAGATGCTGTTTAGCCAGGACACCGGATGTAGACCACCCCAGGTGGCTCGGGAAGGCTGGCAGTCAAAATGTGGTGGCCTCACTACTTACTGGGAAGACCTAGCATGGGAGTTTAGGACATGCATGGCTCCCTCTGATAATATATAAGGTTTATATTTCTGGCCCTTGGAAATGATCTGTTTGCCTGTATTCTCTAGAACCATCTTTGATGGCAGTTATAAAGGAGTGTGCTGTGGGAGGTTTTATGAGGCCTTGGAATTCAGTTTGGTGGGGGCTGTGTATTCGAGAATAGCCAGGGAGCCAGAGGAATCAAATGACAGCAGTTTGGGGAAGAGGGGAAGTGAGTGACCCTGTCATTCTGACAGTGTCCCTTGACGATAAAAATAACAGGCCCAGGGGAAGACTGGCATTTCCTATGCCTTCATTTTCTTCTTGTGTGTTTTTTCTTCTTGAGCCTAGAGAAGTGCCTCCCACTTCACACACAGTCCTCCTCCATCTCTTAGAGCTGAGAGCCCAGGATGCAAGCAGATGATGATACAACATGGTTTTCGTTCTCACCTCCTCCCTCAGTCTAGCCCTCTGCATTCACTGCCCCTCTTCTCTCCTGCAAGCACCAAGCTCATGACCCTGCTTGAACTTTCCCTTTCATCCTCTTCGCTACTCTGATAGCCCTGCCACCCTCTATTCAAGGAGTATTTATGAAGTACTTACTATTTGCCCTTGGTCATGTACTATCTAACAGGATTTTCAGTATGTAATTTAGGCTTTATCAACAAGAGCACAAGCTCCCAAAGCGCGAGGAAGTGTCTTCTACTTCTTTAGGGCCCTTATTGTGCACCATCTGAGCTCGGGATGAAGATTTGGTGATTTGCCCTCTAGGCTCATGGGGTCAGCATGAGCTCCTGTCTAGGGTGGGCAAGCACCAGGACAGTCCAGCTCAATGGTTGTAGACTGTGCTCTCAAACGCTAAAAGAGAGCAGTGATGCCAGAGTCTGGGCCCAAGCCCTTCTGATGCTCATCAACCCACCCCCAGCAACTGTGACTGGTGAATTTAGGTTGCTAGGTCATGTATCTGTATATGTTCCTGCTCTGTTCCCTATGTTTTGAAAACCCATGCCGTTGTTATCCAGAACAGAGAGGCAAGAACTAGGTCTCATCCCTGCATGGCTGTGGGACTGTGGAGCTTAATAAACACCTCTCCGTGCTGAGACATCGCAGGGGAAGGCCCGAAGGAAGGCCTGGAGAGGAGCAGCAGTTCCACTGGGGGCTGTTGAATATCTTTCTTCTGGAGTTCTGAGTGCTTGTTTGCCTCTGTTCTAGGCCCACCTGCCGTTTGCCGTAGTTGGCAGCACAGAAGAAGTGAAGATCGGCAACAAGATGATGAGGGCGCGGCAGTATCCTTGGGGGACTGTGCAGGGTGAGTCTCCCGCAGATGGGCTGCACTCAGAGAGCCCCTTCTTTGTGTATCTGCTGCCCCCTGCCATGATATGACCAGTTCCTAGCTAGTCTCAGCCCCTGCTACTCAGTTTGGGTCTCAAACAGCCACAGGGGTCACTAGCAGCAAGCGCTGGCCCTGTGCCTGGATTCTATGATATGAGCAGACTCCTTTTGTGCAGTCTCTAATGGAGAAAGTACTCCCTTATATCTCCCCCCACCCCACGAAACAACAAAAGACGAATGGACTTGGCACAACACAGAAAGGACTGTAAAAGTGAGTATGTCGTTAGGAGAGGCACAAGAATGTTCACAGCAGTGCTATTCATAACGATAAATTATTACAAACAATGAGGTGTCCATAAAAATAGACTGGGTAATTTGTGAAATGGCCATATAATGGGATCTTAGACAGCAATGAAAACGCGTGAATTGCAGTTACATCTGTGTGAATGGATCTCAGAAACACAATGCTGAGCTGAATAAAATCATACCAGAATGCATATGATACGTTTCTATTTATATGAATTCCAAAAATAGGCTAAAATAACATGATATGTGTTTTTATCAATGCATACACGAGTGATAAACGATGAAATCATTTTTAAAAAACAACAAGAGCTGGAATAATGGCTCAGAGGTAGAGAGCACCTGTTACTCTTGTAGAGGGCCTGAACTCCATTCCCAGCACCCACGCCATGAGACTCACTTCCACCTCTAACTCCAGCTCCAGGGGATCAGAACCCTCTTCTGCCCTCTGCAGACACCCTACACACACACACACACACACACACACACACGAATAAAAATAAAAATAAATCTTAAAAAATGGGACCAGTGAGATGGCTTGTGGGGGCAAGGTAAAGGCACTTTCCTCTGAGTCTAATGGCCTCAGTTTGATCTCCAGAGGCCCCACAGTGGAGGACGGAGCTGACTTCTAAAAGCTGTCTTCTGACCTTCACACAAACACCAGCACCCACACGAGTGCACACGTACACTCCCCACCCCCACACTAAATAAATTGAAATAAAAAAATACACAAATGAATGCTAAACCCCAAAGTCAGGATAATGCCTAAGTTTCATTGCCAGAGGAGACAGGGGTATGAGATCAAAAAGAGGCCAGCAGGGGCTTCCAAGGTACTGGTAACATTAACTTAGGTTGTGGAGATATTTAAAAATTTTGAATTTCTTTAAATTGCACATACCTATTTCATGTACTCATATATATATATATATATATATATATATATATATATATATGATTATTTCATAATTTAAAAGAATCAGATATCTCCTGCATACACTCACGACAATTCTTTTTGTGGTCTGTCACACACATTACGCTGCTCTTGTCCGCCCTATGACACTACAGTGCGCAGGAGTTTGGGGCCTTGAGTCTATGGCTGTAAACTGGGCCACGGCTGGCAGTCTCTCTGTAAATCCTTTCCAATCCTTGGGCAAATAAAGGAGAATGGGCACCCAAGAAGGGTGACGTGCATCTGTAAGTCCAGTACTGGGAGGTGGAGCGGAACCGCGATGAGAGGATCGTGAGTTTAAAGGCAGCCTTGGGAGACTGTGTTGCCAAAAAGCAAAGATGAAAGTTGATAGTGAGTTGTCCACCTCACATACAAAGACGGGTGTGATTCAAGGCACAGCAAAGCCCCGCTCACAGTAGCTGGATTTCTTTCCTTTCTTCATTCTTTTGTGGTGCTGAAGATGGAACTCGGGGTCTCAGGCAAGGTAGGCGAGTGCTCTGCCACTAAGCTACATCCTCAGTTCTTCTTTGTTCCAGTGTCAGAGACTGAAGCCAGGCTTCATGCCTGCTAGATGAAAGCTACTGTTAAGCTACATCCCGTCTGGATGTCCCATAGGTAGGAGAAGACTGTTGGGCAGAGCTATGCTAAGTTTTGCTCTTCTCCACCATTTGGAGCTGGGCATGTGTCTTAGTGTTCTATTGCCGTGAAGAGAGACCATGACCATGAAAGCATTTAATTGAGGTGGCAGCTTACAGTTTCAGAGGTTTAGTCCATTATCATCATGGCAGGACATGGCAGCATGCAGGCAGACATGGTGCTAGAGAGGGAGCTGAGAGTCCTACATCTTGACCTACAGGCAACATGAAGTGAACTGAGACACTGGGCATACTTGAGCATATACAAGACTTCAAAGCCCACCTCCACAGTGACACATTTCCTCCAACAAGACCACAGCTACTCCAACAAGGCCATATCTCCTAACAGTGCCACACTCTATGAGATTATGAGGGCCAATTACATTCGAACTACCACAGGATGTTACACTAGGAACATTGGGAATGGCTTCTGAACCAACAGCCACACCTTTGGAGTCTGTGCCCGAAAGACAGGAACCTGAGATGGGAGGAGACAAAGCAGCAGATAGAGTTCCAGTGACTTCCTTCCTCCCACTTAGACTACCCTGTTCTTATCCCAAACTGAGTTTTGTTGTTGGTTGGTTGTTTTGAACTCCTGAGTTGACTGTTCTTTTTGAATGAGGAAGCAATTGAACACTGCTTGGGAGCCTAAAAGAGACTTAGAACTATTCCTTTTTTTTTCTCTCTGTTTAAAATAAATAGGGTCTCCTGTAGTCTAGGTTGACCTTATAATCACTATGTAGTTGAAGCTAGCCTTGAACTCCTGACCCTCCCGCTTTCACCTCCTAAGTGCTGAAAGTACAGGTGTGTGCCAGCATGCCTGGCTCTAGAATCATTCCTCCTGACCAGGGATCACTGTCCAGAGTTGGAGAAGCAGATACAGATAGCTTGCTCCCAAGGAGTTCTTTTATTGATGCAGCTTTTCATACTAGTTTATGTTCTATGGCAACAGGTAGAGTTCAGGCCTGAATGTAAGGGGCCTTAAGTGGAAAGAGTACATGGACCACTCTGGACTTTGGACAATACTTCTGATGACCATACCTGACCATCTATAATGGTACAACTATACTCAACTCTGTCATTCCAGAACCCTCCTCTCTGTCCCTACTGTCCTCTCCCAGACCCCGAGAGACAGAATCTTGGGTAACTTATCTTTTCATCCTCTTAGACACCACCATCCATCTCTACATGGCCAAACACTGCCATCCAACACAGTGGATCCAGGCCTGGAGCATCCTGACAGAGCCCTGCCTGCAGACTTGCTCTGGCCAGAAGTCCACTTTGCTGTGATTTAGTCCACATCTCTCACATTCTTGTCCACTGCCCAAAATGCAGACCTTTGCCCACAAAGCAAAGAAATGGTACCCACTTGCTCCTGCTTAAGATTGCAGTGGTCAGGCCATGATCCCCGCCCCCCCTTGGTAAAACTCCTCCCTGAAAGCTTCTGCTATCCACATGGGCCACACCTGGGGTCTGCCCCTCCTTGTCCCCATAACCTTTTGCTACCCTAGCTCTTTTTTCTTGCTCTCTGGAGACTCCGTCTCTGGTCTTTTTGCCTCTCCCCTACACTACCCGAGTTTGAGGCCAGACTCAGCAAGTTGCTCACTGTGTGCCCTTGCCCAGCCTTCTGGAGACCTCGTGAAGATTGTGTTCTGTTCTCTGCCTGATACATTCTATTCTTCCTTCCAGAGTCATCCAAGAGGTTTTTGTCTTTGGGAAGCGTGTGCTGTCCTGGGAGTTCACACGTCCCCCTCTTCTGGGCTCTTACTGCCCTGCAGCCAAGCCTCCCTCCATGTTTGTAATTTGGGCACTGCCTTATATTGTCCTGTGGACATGTGCTTTCCCACTAAGCTGCAGGTCCCTAAGAGCAGAGCTCCACGGCTTCGTTTCTGAATTATCTGGGCCACAGAGACTGCTGGGAACAAAGATAGCGCAAACATTTAGTGGGTGGATGGATAGATAGACGTGCGTGTGTTGTCATCTGCAAAGCAGTGCGGAGCAGATATTCCTGTGGAAGTCTGCTTGGCGAATTCGTGTTGAGGCATTGATGGAAGCTCTTAGATATTTGCACAGTAGTAGTGCCCTTTCCTAATGTTTCATTCCCGTTTTCACAGAAAATGGAATGAAGGGAAATTTGTAGGTGCCGTATAAAGAGGTTGCGAGGCAATGTCACCATTAGCCATTTTACTTCTCACTTCATCCATTTCTTCTTCTGCTGGCCTTCCTTTCAATATGCCTCCCATGCCCCGATCCCCACTATGCAGTTGAAAATGAGGCCCACTGCGACTTTGTGAAGCTGCGGGAGATGCTGATTCGGGTCAACATGGAGGATCTGCGGGAGCAGACCCACACCCGGCACTATGAACTGTACCGCCGCTGTAAGCTGGAGGAGATGGGCTTCAAGGACACCGACCCCGACAGCAAACCGTTCAGGTACCACCACTCACGCCAGGCCAGGCCAGCTCAGGAAGCCTTGCCCTGGACAATCCGCAGGGGAGGAGAGGCACGGGGTTAGCTAGAGGGCCCAGAGTAATTCCTGAGTCACCAGTGTTGTGTGGACTGTTCCCGCTCCGTGTCTGCACATCTGCCAGAAGAGCTACCACCACCTTGCTTAGAAAAGCAGGGAAGGGAGGGGGCCTGGAGAAACCTCTTTGCTGATCACCCACTGCTTCTGCCCCTCCCTTCCATATATAACTGCTCTAGTCAGCCAGGCTCACAGAGACCCTGAGCTGGGGTTTTGTTCTATTGGGTAGCAGTTAGGAACTCTTCTCTGTTCCCTGTTTCTTCATCTGGCTCTGCTGTTGCTTAAGACAGGTTTCCACTATAGTCTTTCCCTTCTTCCCTGTTCTCAGAAAGCAAATAGGAAAAGTCAGGCATAGTGGCACATGCCCGGAATCCCAGCACTGGGGAAGCTAATGCAGAAGGATTGCTATGGGGTACCTGGCAAGTACTGCACCAGCCAGGGCTGCACAGCAAGAGCATCCCTTTCAAAAAGAAACAAAAAAGGAAAGCTGGGTATGTGATTTGGTAGTAGAGTGCTTGCCTAGCATGCACAAGCCCCGAGTTCATCCCTAGCACCAAATAAATAAATAAATAAATAAATAAATAAATAAATAAATAAATAAATAAATGAATGAATGAATGAATAAATGAGTAGGAAAATACGAAACAGGACCACAGTCACTTTGCTTGTATTGGTGACCTGCGTGATGCTCTTCCCCCACTGCCGAAGCATTTCAGTGTGAGTTTTGTTTTGGCCACTGAAGATGAGTAATCACTGGTGTTTCAGACTCTCAAGTGCTTTTTCTTACACAGGTGGGAGCCATAGACCAGTGGAAATCTCGGCTCTGTGTACACAATATGTGTCATCAGCCCTGCATTTTGAATTACCATGTGTTGCCCTTTACCGTGACTCCATCTCCTTTCAGGAAATGTCAGACATCCATGAGCAAGCCAGGGGGATTATCTGTGGGAGGAAAAGGCATTCAAATGGCCTCTGGGATCCCACAGAACCTGTTCATAGCAGAAAGGGGGCGCAGAACACTGTACGAGCAGTCCTTTGGGGGGTGTCTGCTTTAGGAATGGCAGCCTCCCACCCCTCTGGGGATAGGCAGGTCGGGGCCCCAGAGCTCCTGAGCTGGGGGAAAGCGAGCTTGTCTCTGACGGAAATTCCTCCGTTGCTCTCCTTCACCTCCACAGCTTTCATCTGCATCCGGAAGGAGGTGTGCCTCTGCCTGGCCCTTCAGTCCTGGCCTTTCCTCCTTTGCCCCATCCTTGGTACTTCTGTTTCAGCATCCTCACCCGCTTCCCTCTCTTCCACTGCCCCTTGTCTACCTTGCTCGGAAATACTCCTGCCTGATGAAGTCCTTTTTTTTTTTTTTTTAAGCTCTGCTCTTTCTTTGCCAGTTCCTCCCCTGTCAAGAGGTTTGTCTCTGACAGGAAAGAAACATTTCTGTATCTGCTGTTCCTCTTCCTCCTCCCTCACTTACTTCCTCAACCCACTGCTCTCTGGCTTCGCCTCCAGCTCTCCACAAAAGGGCCTGTAGTTGTAGGTTGGTGGCCGATTTCATTGTGGCTTGATTTTAATGGGAAACATTAATTCGGCTTTCTTGAGATACCTTCTGCAGACCTTCAGCTCTTCCAGTATCGGCCTGGCCAGCTTTATCCCTCTCCCTCTCTGTCATCTTATTCCTCAGTCTCACTTTCCGGCTCAGTTTCTTCAGCTGTCTCCTTTAAATGTTGCTGCTCCCTCAGAATTCCTTCCATGGAGGAAGGAACCTCTGTTCTCTCATACTTATCTCTTTGTCCTGGTTCTTTCTTTTCTCAAAACCCTAATTACCACCTAGGTAGCCGATGAATCCAAAGCTAAGACTTTGCCATTGAACTCTGAAGCCATTGATGCCACTGTTCTGCAGACATTTGCGCTCAGGTATTCTGTGGATGCCTGATCTGAGTCCCCAACAGTCTGCCGTCAAGTCCGTGTTCTTCTTCCCTTTCCAGCATTTCCTGTTGCTGTTCATGTTCTACCGCCTACCTAGTGGTCCACGTTTCTTTGGGGGGTATTAGCAGAGTTTAACGTAGATTCAAAGAAAGCACTAAGATTCGAAGAAAGATGCACACAAAGAGAATAAGATACACTTGAGAAAGTCCGTGTGAGCTGCTCAGAGGAGAGCTGTCTAGAGTCAGCTTTGATTTCTCCCAAGACCTAGAAATTCTGCAGCCCTTATTGTCCCTCAGATCTCTCCATTCCCTGCCAGCCCTTAACACGAAGATCCTGCCGCTTCACACTTGAATTGCTGCAGTTTCCTTCCCAGAATAGCCAAGCAGACTTCCTCATGTTCTGACTGATGTAAACCGCTCTGTGGATATATGTCCGCTTCTTTAATGTGCCATCTAAAGCCTGTCCTCTTCTTCCAGACTCAAGAACTTCCCCTCTCGCTCCTCCATGGCTCACATGATTCCCCCAAGCCTGTTCGAATGTGGCCACATCCCCAGGAACACCACTCCCCACTTCTGCCTGCCCACATGCTTCTCTGTCTTGGGAGCACAGTCCTTCTGTTCTTCACCAGGCTGACTCTCCCTTTTTGAAAACTAAGTGCAGACCAGGGGCAGTGGTCTTGATCCAGGCATCTCCCGTTAGACCCTGAGTTCTTCTAGGACAGGCATGGTGGCTCTGGACTCTAGAGGCTGAGCGACTGGCTTCATGTCTATCCACACTGTTCACTTCCGTGGTAGGTATAAATAATCTCAGCGAGTATTTGAGGAAGTGGCAGGTCAGTGTGGTCGGTTTCAGAGCCGGGGCCCGGCAGTGCAGTGCAGTGGGAGGGGACCTTAAACGAAGGAACAGGAGACCCAGCCTCTGGGGTCAGCTGTGCCTCTGACTAGGTGTACACTCTTCAGCGAGTCACTTCATCTCTGTGAGCCCCAGTTTCCTCATCCTGTACAGAGAGAGAGAAAGAGAGAGAGAGAGAGAGAGAGAGAGAGAGAGAGAGAGAGAGAGAGAGAGAAGAGAGAAGAGAGAAGAGAGAAATAGAAATATTTCTAGAAGGAATCCAATTCACCAGGGCTCCTGTGCCCCCTTCAGTAGCTCTGTAATATTGCTGTTGCATGCTAACATACCCCTCCCCTTTTGTGGGTCTCTTGGCATTTCTCGGTCAGAATTAGAATTAGGGAAGAGAGGATGAGAGAACTCAGGATGGTTGGGGCCCGTTTTCTTGAGCAAGGGTTGCCCCGGAGCCAGTGGGATTGACTTGATTGTATCTACAGTTTACAGGAGACATATGAGGCGAAAAGAAATGAGTTCCTGGGGGAGCTCCAGAAGAAAGAAGAGGAGATGAGACAGATGTTTGTCCAGAGAGTCAAAGAGAAAGAAGCCGAGCTCAAGGAGGCGGAAAAAGAGGTAAACGTGAGCCTGGAGAGCAGGCAGGTGGAGGAGAGACTGAGTGCAGGGCGAGGGGTGGAGGGACTTGTGGCCTCTGGGCAGGACTGCAGTGCAGCTCCGGTGGAGAGACTCGGAGGACATCTGTGTCTCCTTGACCTTCATTCCCTAAGGCCGGGGCAGTTCCTCATTCTGTTCATTGTTTAGGGGTGTTGCCATCCAGCATGCTAGCCACTAGCTGTAGGTGGGATGGAACCCAGGCATTGCACATGCTAGATAAGTGTTCCGTCACTGAGCCCCACGCCTGGCACCTCCAACTGCATTGGTGCAGTTCTAGCTGGTTCTTTAAACCGAGACTTGGTGGTCCTTTCTAAGCCCATGCAGTTTGGGCTGGCTGAGCGGCTCAGTGGGTAAAAGTGCTTTCCTGACAACCTGAGTTCAATTCCTGGAAAGCACATAAAAGCCAGCTGCAGTGACCCCCATCTGTAATGAGTGGTGAGATGAGAGGCTAAGATACAAAGCATGGGGTATGCTGCATGGCCAAGAGAGACACAAGGTGGAAGGAGAGAACCAGCTCCCCAAAGTTATTCTCTGCTCTCCATATGCATGCTATGACACACGTAAATACACAACAACAACAACAATAATTTTTATCTTATTTTATGTGCATGGATTTTTTTTGCTTGCATGTATGTTTGTGCATCACTTCTATGCCTAGTGCCTAAGGAGGCCAGAAGAGGGCACTGGATCTTCTGGAACTGGAGTTACAGATGATTGTGAGCTTCCAAGTGGATGCCAGTGATCAAAACTGAGTCTTCTGGAAAAGCAGAAAGTACTCTTAACTTCTGAGCCATCCCTCCGGCCCCTAATAGTAATAAGTTCTTTAAAAAGAATTAAACATATGCAGTTCTTCCTTTAAGCAATGGCCTTGGATGGCAAGGCTCCGATGCCAGAGTAGTTGGCCTGCAGTACAGTTTGGGAATATCAGCCAGTGTTTCACTTCTCTGGGCCTTAGTTATTCTTCTGGATGCTGTGATCAAAGACCTACCCGACAAAAACAACTTAAGGAAGAGTTGGTTTCGGCTCCCAGTTCTGGAGATATAATTCATCGTGGTGAGAAAGCGTGCTAGCACAAGCTTAGTGGAACTGGTCGCTTGGTACAAGAAGCAGAGAGACAGAGAGAGACAGAGACACAGAGAGAGACTATTAGTACCCAGCTCATTGTCTCCTTTTAATTCAGTTCAAGACCCCAGCCCATAGAATGGTGCCACCTACCTGCAGAGTGTGTCTTCCCACCTCAATTAGCCCGATGATCTAGACACTCTTTCATAGACCCACCTAGAGGCTGGTTTCCATAGTGGTTATAAATCACCCATCAAGTTGATAGTCAAAATTAACCATCACACCCCTCAAACATAAACAAGGGAAACTATTACTCCCCAAACTTCTTCACCTTTGATCTCCTAAGACTCTCCAGGGCTGTCACCAAAACTTGTGGTAAAGGTATTGGCTTTATTTCAGTTTCACTTTAAGAAGAAAAATGTCACCCATTACCTTTAAGAAGAGAGTTAGGGTCATCTTAAAGAAAAATGAATAAAAGTTGTAATGAACTTTAGGCAAGTGCTCTACCACTGAACTAAATCCCCAACCCCGAACTAAAGCTCTTTTAAAGCAACTGACACTCCCCTCAAGTGACTAGGTGAAACAGGTTTAGACAGCAAACTTGTCGTTTGCCATATCTTACTGGGCAACGGTCTCAAATGGCCATAGTATTTGCAGAACTGACCTCCAAGTGCTACAGAGTGCAGAATTTCCTCCTGAATCCCCAGAAGAAAACAGAATTGTTCTTGGTCTATTATGAAGGTATTTTGTGCATCCCAGTGGTGTGACCATCCATGCTTCTGGCTCTCTGATCCACTAGTCACAAGAGCATGCCAGAATATGCTTGCTGTTCTTTGAGTCTGAGAGTCCATTCAAGGTGAGTGAAGCCTTGCCTCTGGTTAAGGCTGAGGTTTCGGGGCTGGAGAGATAGCCCAGCAGTTAGAGCACTTGCTCTTGCAGAGGACCCAGGTTCAGTTCTCAGCACCTATTTGGTGGCTCGTGACCATCCTGACCTCTAGTTACAGGAGATTCGACGTCCCCTTCTGACTTCTGAGGGTACCAGGCATGCCTGTGGTACACATACACACATGCAGGCAAAATACACATGCGTGTGAAATAAATAAATCTTTTAAAATTGTTTGAAAAGACTGAGTTCTGAGCACTCATCCAATTTTATGGAATGGTTGTTGTCTCTTTTTGTGTTCAAGGCCAAGTATTTTCTTTGACCAGCATTGCTATGGTTTAAATCTTCACCATGGTCCATGGTGATCTTTCCTGATTATAGGGGACAAGAAAAGGCAGCAGGAGTTGGGGAGGCAGGGGAGATACCTCAGTATAAGGTATTAGTGTGCTTGCCCTGAAAGCATGAGGACTATGAGTTCAGAGCTACACCCCACAAAGAGCCAGGCTTGGCTGCACATGCCTGTGATCCAGCCTTAGGGAGCGCAGACACGTAGATCCTAGGGTGGGCTTAGCCAGGAAGAGAGCTCTAGCCGAGGGAGATCCCGTTATATAATCCTCCAAAGACTGGGTTGACCTTGGGCAAATGCCTTCGCTTATGAGACTCTCAGTTTCCTTATAAAAACTGAATCCCCAGAAGAAAACAGAATTGTTCTTGGTCTATTTATGAAGATATTTTGTGCATTCCAGTGGTGTGTCATAATAACAGAGCCTACCTCAACTGTGGTGTAAGCTAGGCATGCTGGCATATACTTGTAAGCTCAGTACTCAAAAGGCAGATAAAGGAGGATTGTGAGTTCAAGGTTAGCTTGAGCTGCACAGCAAGACCCTGTCTCAAAAAGAAAAGAGTACTCTATTAACGAAAACAGTTTTTATAGATTAGTTTTTTTTAAGATTATTCGTTTATTATGTAAACAGTGTTCTGCCTACATGTATGCCTGCATACCATAAGAGGGCACCAAATCTCATCAAAGACGAATGTGAGCCACCATATGGTTGCCGGGAATTGAACCCAGGACCTCTGGAAGAACAGCCAGTGCTCTTAAACTCTGAGCCATCTCTCCAGCCTATATATTAGATTTAGTGGCTGGCTTGTAACAAACTAACTGAATATTATTATCAACCACACCCAATAACTACAAGGGTTCTTTTAAATAAAATGTTTGGTTACACAGAATACATTGTTCCTTGACCATTTCAGGAGCAGAGATTCTGAGAACATTTACAGCAATCTACAATCATTTGGCGCCATCATGGCGGTCACTGGCAGGAACGTCTCCTAATGTCCCAGAGTCCTACAGAGTTGCAGCCACAGTGGTTCCCACCCACTCTGGTCCTCACTGGGCTGGGGACTGCTCACTGCTGGGGGCGGGGCTCCCTCTAACCTCCCTGTGCCTCTCTGCCAGCTGCATGAGAAGTTTGACCGTCTGAAGAAACTGCACCAGGAAGAAAAGAAGAAGCTGGAGGATAAGAAGAAATCCCTGGATGATGAAGTGAATGCTTTCAAACAGAGAAAGACAGCGGCTGAGCTGCTCCAGTCTCAGGGTTCTCAGGCTGGGGGCTCGCAGACTCTGAAAAGGGACAAAGAGAAGAAGAAGTAAGTAGCAGACTGCTGTGTGTGTGTGTGTGTGTGTGTGTGTGTGTGTGTGTGTGTGTGTGTGTGTGTTCTTTTTTTTCCTGCCTATCCCCTCCCCTCACTCCATCCATCACCTGGCAAGACCTAGAGACCAAGAGGGCTGGTGCTCAGGTGTGAACTGCGGGCTGCCAGTTAGACTCAAGTGGTCTTCAGTGTCCCCGCGGCACCCGAGGTT